GGCAATATTATACTGTGTTCTCATCTTCATCCGCCTTACTCCTAAATCACTATAACCAAGACTTTTCCCAGAAGCTACTAAAAATGTACAAGAAATAAATGATATGATAATTGCAGTATCAAATGATTTGTTTGACAATGCTGCTGAAAAAAGTCCAGTGCAGATAGAGAAGCTTTGTTCAAATTCTTATACTTTGCAGAGAACTGTGTTTTATTTGCATCATGTCTAAGAAGTATAAGAATATGGAAAGCTTAGAAATAAGAAGATGAAAGGTGAGAAAGCTAAGGCAATTTGGAAAGGTCGGCTAGAAATACATTCCCTAGCTAATTCTCTTTTTGTTATCCTTATTTTTTATTTTGATTCTTTTTTTATATAATTAAAATTCTCTTTTGAATTTAATCTTCCAACATTTAAATTATTTAAAATTAATTTTCATGATTTTCTTTATATATAGTGTTTTCAATCTAATGATCTGCGTTACATATTTGAAAATTTAACATAATTTGACATTGAATTTTTTTTTGTTAATGGTTATCATAATTTTATAATCTAGATCATTGATTTGATAGCACGATCTAAATTAGCTTGACCTTGATTAAGAAGGTTACAAATTTTTAATACTAGCTAAGGTTGTTGACTCAAACTAGTTTTTTAGATCATTTTTTTATTTAATTTTTTTATTTTTGTATTTAATAAACTGAAAATTAACTTATATCATTCATTTTTTATTGAGAAAAATATTTGTATTAGGTTATTGTAATTATTTTTTTTATTTGGTTTATCTATTGTCATTACCTATTAACCCATTTAATTCAGTTAAACTTATGACCCGAGTTATAAATTTATCTTTATTTCTTTGAAACGCCTTTGCAAAACATAAGCATAATTTTTTTATGAAAAAAAAATAAATAAATTTTTTTTCATAAAACGGGATGATAGCTAGTTAAATACTATTAATTTAACAATTAAGAAAGTCAAGGTAATGTCATGGAGCATGGTGTTTGAGCAATTCAATTGTGTAAAGGAGTTGAACTGTTGAAGTGATGTAAATTCATTGTTGTTCCTAATCATATATAAACTAACAAAGAGAGGTTTTTCCTTTTTCTTTTTCTTTTTCTTTCCACGCCAACTTTGCTTGTTTTTTCTCTCTTTAATAGCCAACCCTAGGGTGTTGATGTTTTCATACAAAATATAGTTATATTTACTGTAGTTGTCAGACCTAAACTAGCAAATGATTCGAAAAAGAACTTGGATTCCCAGGTCATATTGGTGAAGTAAAATATGTAAAAATTATAAGAGTGAGGGCTAATTTTAAAAAGGAAAAATAAAGGTTTGGAATAATGATTGGTAAATAATATTTATTTCCCACATCTTTGAGCATATTCTTTTTCTTTTAAATTGTTTTTTTTTTAATTTCTTAATATTAATTCTTGAACATCTAATGATTGGGCATTTTTTTAATTTTCATTATTTCTTAAAACCCCTCAAACTCTTTCTTTCTTTCTTTCTTAATACATACAAGGGTTAATTTTGAGATTTTCATAATAATTTCAAGGAAATTATAATTATCTCTTAACTAAAAATCCTAATATTAATAAAATACTAAAAGGTATAGGAAAATATTGTTCTTCATATTACTGTAACTTTCCTCGCAATTCATTGTTATTCCCACAATAATTTTTTTCATTTTAATGATTAAACTTTTTTCTCATCAATTGCATTCTTTTATGATCAAATTAAAAGTCAAATGCTTCTAATTTTTTAAAGAATAGTAGAATTGAAAGACAGGAGACCAATATGAAAAGAATGAGAAAATAGATGGTTATTTTAAAATTGACTAAAAAAGATTACTTTGATCCTCTTAATTTGCAACAAACCTATTTTTCATCCCTTTAATGTTTTTCAAAGTTTATTTTTTGTCTAAAACTTCATTTTTCTTTTTCTTTTTTTCTCTAGTTTGAGGTAAGAGATAGAAAGTCACTAGATTTCACTAAAAAAAATATATATCAATTAACAATGATTACAACCACCAAAATGATTAATCTTGGTATCTACATGTTCCACTCAATGACAAGAGCTTCAGTAAGGTTTTTATTTCACCTTCAAATAACTTGAAAAATTAGATATGAACTTGGAAAAGTTCTTGGATGACAGGTTGATTAGTTATTTTTGGATCTTTTTTGGGTTATTTGAAGGTTTGAGCGAGTTTATTTAGGTGTTTAGAGTGTTTCAAGTGTTTTTGGTTAAAAAAAACTTGAAATTGAATCTTTTAGATATAAAACGTCCTCGTCTCGACTTCCTAGCAACATTTGGTTGCTCCAATATAAACAGAGCAAATAATGTGTTATTTGTCTCAACACGTGACATGTTATCTACTATGTTTTTTCAAAAGAAATTGTTGTTCACCCCATAAAAAACAAAAGAGATAAACATGTGTAGATGTGTGGGCTACCTCAGGTCCACGAGCGCCTGTGGCTTTATTTTCTTATTTTTATTAGTTTTTTTTCAATTTGATTATTCACAATTGAATATTTTCATGCTTTTATATTTTGTTGATTTTTAGTTGGGCAACGCAATTTATCTCAATTTGGTACTTGTATATTTATAACAATCTCAAACAAATATTCTAATATTTTTTTGTTTCATAGTTTTGCTAGTGTGTATTTTTCTTATCATATAGTTAAATAAAATATATTTTGTTTAGTTAGAAATCAAGTTTTCTAATTTTTTTCTGATTTATTTAATTAAATATTTACATAAGCTTTTAAATTTATGATTAGGATTTATTTATCTAAAAAAACATGTATAAACTACTATTATCTTTATTTTTTATATTGAAATAAAAATTTATTTAACCCACCATAGAACAAGGGTGAAATAGCTAGATAGCTCGTATTTCCTTTAAAATGTTATTTATGCAAGTCTTAGGTTAAATCACCTTGCCTGTCTCCTTTTTGTTTCTCAGCATTTAGTTCCACGTCAATTCTATTTTTCATTTTCATTTTCATTTTTATTTTTATTTTAAATTCTACAATATGCCATCACCCCTTGATCATCTTTAATATTTTTTCAATTGCTCTTGTCGATATACTTTGTGTTCCTTCTCTTTTAACGAGTCAACACATCCTCTGTGACCTTGGAAAAACCTAAAACATATGAGAAACCCCAAACCCAACGCTTTCATCATCTTTCTCATAACGGAAACATACCCTTTATTCCTCTTGTTTCATCGCATCTTCAGAAAATTCTCAGTTTGTCAACATACTAATAATTAAAAATGGCAATTGTAAGATTACAGAGATTCTCTTAGAACTAAAATCCTTTCCCACCAAAAGAAATTTGTTTAGTAATTGATATTTGACTATAAATTTGTTCGTGGCTTCGGTTTCATTCGACCACCAACGATTATGGGCTCTGCGTTGGGGTTTGTGAGGACTGGTGTCGTGGAGTTTAAGGGTGGTGAAGGGTTCGAATAGGGGTGATTTACTGAGTTGTGCGATCCGATTAGGTTATTCATTTTACAATCTGCGGCAGTTGTGGGTGTTGTTTTTACTCTTTATTGATTGCCGATGTTTGGGTTTAAATTTTTTATTGATTGTTCAAATTAGGGAAGATGAAGATATGAAGTTTCTTGTTGGCTAAGTAATGAGACCCGATACATGCTTAGGTTTAGTTGGGTTATACTAAGTCAAAAGTATGAATTGATTTAAAGTAGCAACCTAAGGTAAATTCCAAATTTCAAACTTTTCAAATTAAGTGGGCTAGGTTAAGGAGATATTGAGATGGTGGTAATGATTATTTTTTAAAATAATTTTTGTTTAAAAATATATTAAAATATTTTTTTAATTTTTAAAAAATTATTTTTTACATCTACATATTAAAATGATTTAAAAATATAAAAAAATAAAAAAATAATTTTAAATAAAAAAATTGAGTTTTAAAGTCTTAAATTTACAAAAAAATCTAAATTCAAGTGACGTCGACTAGCAAATAAATCATTCTTTTTCAAAGATGTTTGGTACCGTGATTAGATAATGTTTTTTTAAAAATTTTATTTTTTTATTTGAAATTATTATTTTATGTATTTTAATCATTTTGATGCATTAAAAGCAAAATAATAATAATAAAAATAATAATTTATTTTATTTTCACATAAAAAAACTTTATAATTCAATATTTATTACCGTCCCTGCACCTCTAAAATTTGAATAGAAAAACGATGGAATGGGAGAGCCGAGAGGAGGATGTCAAGTGGCATTCTCATTTTCAAGGTTGTAGACTTTATATTAAAGCCTCTCTTAAATTTCTTCTTGTTTGATTGAATTTCAATGGGGCTATTTTGTCCTTTTCCTGGTTAATTTATGTGTGTGGAATCGGATATTAGGGTGAGGTTTACTCTACAAACCCCGTGGCCATAACTTAAAATTTCAAGTGCTATGAAATTTCAACAGAATCATTTCAACTTAATGAAAAAATAGCCATCACCAATTTATAATTAATTCTAAATAGTACGAATTTAAAAAAAAACATTTAACTTATTGAAAAAGAAAAAAATATTTTATTGATACTATTAATCACGCTTAATTGCTTTTACCTATAAATATTACTACTAATATTACAACAAAAATCACTATTACCTGCTCTCACTCTACCATCACCGACCATATTATTACAACCACAATTTTAATATTAATATAATTATTATTTTATCATAATTATATTATAAATCTTTAAATAATTGAGACAATAGTCATTTTATTATCATTGTAATTAGTTATTATCACCACAACTACGTCTACAATAATTGTTATTGTATGAAGACTTTAATCACTATCAATATTATATATTATTATTGTAATTACCATTATTATCATTATTATTTTTATTATAAATATTATAACTCCCATCTTACTACCATCACTTAAAAAACAACTTATTTTATATATAAATATTTTTTGTTACATTTGAATAGTAAAAAGTATTCACTTTCTAAAAGTATTTCCTTACACTGTTAATTTACATGAGAAAGTCATTTAATTACTTTAACTATTGTTATCAACATCATTATTACAACAACAATCATTATTATCTATCCTCACCCTACTATTACCGACCATATTATCACAACCATAATCTTAATATTATTATAATTATTATTTTATTATAATCTTATTATAAAATTTTAATAATCAAAATAATATTCATTTTATTATCATTATTATCATCACAACAATTATGGTTATTAGACAAAGACATTTATCACTATTAATATTATATATTATTAAAACTCTCATGTTACTACCATTACTAAAAAAACAACTTATTTTGTTTAAAAATTTTTTTGGTACACATTTGAATAATAAAGAGTAATCACTCTCTGAAAGTTATATGCCTAGAAAGAATATTTTTAAGTCAGCGTTACTTTTGTTCTAGATCGACTTGTGGGATTAGCAACATCTTTTCAAAGTGATTAACTCAAGCATTTAAACACAAGACAGTTGGGTTGTTTTAGCTTAGAAAAGACGTTGAAGAATAATGGTTTTGGATTGGGACGGAAGGACCTCATGCATCCAAGGGATTGTAAGCGAATTGTCAAAAGAGGCCGCCCGCCCCTCCCTCATTGTCATTTAGCAGCTTATACCACTTTTTTTCAGGGAGGACCACCCGGAGAAGACCTCCCTCTCCTCATCGGTGACTTGATCTACGCATAAACCTGCTCTTTACGGTCTTTTCTTTTAACAGCCACCCTTGCAGCCTGTGAATTGATGGGATCCTCTGCGTTTCCATATCTCACTTGGCGGTCTTGACACGGAAACTTCTTTGTGAAAAATCTGTGGAATGGCTGGCCCTAGCTAAACAAATATATAGGTACAAAGGAAATCTTCAAACGACTTGATTTCTCATAGATAAATCATATTTATCAAGATATAATAGATTTTCATGTAGTAAGAAATAATTTATATTTATTTATTTAATGAGTGAATTTATCTTATTTTATTTCTTGAGAAAAAACAATTGTATTTCTCAAAAAAAACAAAAAAAAAAAGAGTTTTTGGATAGTTTACAAGAAGGAAGGAATTAGCATTGTTTTCTAATCCTCTCTTCCTTTCTTTTCTTTTTCATGCTTCAGATCGCCTCGATACCCTTTATTCTTTTACGTTCAATATGCAGTGAATCAAAGCAATTTATTCCCAAAAATTGATTACATGAACCCGATTATGTTGATAAAATTAACCTGTTATAAGCACTCACCATAACAACTGGTGATAATAATGGAATCTACTACAGTACTACACAATCAAATACATTTCGTTAAAATGATATTTATGCATAAATCCCTGACCGAGTTATTTCTTTTGTACACATCCAACTCTATTATGCATGGTTCATAAATGTCAAAGAATGCGTCTAATGGTACACTATAACAGCCTGTTTGGAATTAATTCTTAATTATAATTGTATTTAATTATATTTTTTAATTTAAATTTAATAAATAAATAAAAATTGAATTTATATGTTTGAAAAAGATAGAATTAAATTCATTTTATTTTATTTTTTATTTTATTTTTATCACTGTCATCTTATTTCTTTAAAAATCTCTAGAAAAAAAATGAGTAGATTTGGTATTTTAGAAAAGTTAGTTTTAATATTAAGTTACTGTACTATGAAATTGTAAATTAAAGGGGTTAACTTTTGATTTATTTTCGTATAACTTTTAGATAATAAATTTTATTTCAAATTCAATTCTTAAAATAAATTAATTTAAATTGTGTGTGTCTACCCACGCCCTTTGATTCCTTAAAATAACTCAAAATGTTATTCTTCATTTCAAAATAACTCAATGCCCTTGCCTCCAAATGGTGAAATATGTCAATTTAAATGAAAATCATCCTTTTTCAAAAAAATAAATATATAAATGAAAAGATAAATCATGGAAATATCCCTCTAGCCCATGGATTTTTGAGATAAGTCTAAGCCCATTATGATACCTATTATAGCCCAATTTTAACCTATTAACTTTTTAATTTAATTTTATAGGGTTTAAAATATAAAATTAAAAGATAATAAATTTATGTTGATGAGAAGTATGATTTATCAACTTGCGTAAAAATTAAAAACTATAATATACTTTTGTCATTCTATTCGTATCTTTAAAATAATCCATATCTTCAAGATAATCCTTATTTTTAAAATAATGATAGTTATCTGTTTTCAAATTTGATTTTTAATCAAATTCAAACTTCAAAAAAGAGAATGAATTTGATTGAAACTTTGTTTCTTACACGTGAAAGGACTCTAACACTATAAATACAGACCTTAGTGTATGCAAAAATGAGGGACAATCAAAAGAAACTTCGAGAAAGGCCATCACCAAACAAAAAAAAAATTAAGAGGAGGCCATCATGAAAAACCCCTAAGAGGAGATAAGATAAAAAAAAAAAACCTATAGGAGAATAAACACCAAAAAAAACTCCAAGAGAAGGCCATTACAAGAGAGGAAAAAAACACAAGAACAGAAGGAGGAGAGACTGAAAAAAGGAGGAAGAAAGCATTCTTCAATCAGTGCCTGCACTATTATCTTCGCTTTTAGCTTCACCAGGTAAAGTCTTCTTTTTCTCTATACTTCTATGTAATTGTTGCAAGAAAATAGTGCAAAGATAATTAGTGGGCCGGATTTGAGCTTTAGGCACGACCGATCCAAATTATATTTATTCAAGGTGTGTTTGCAAAACACGTCTTTATGCCTTGACCATAATTTTTATGTCCATTTAAATTTGATATTTGACCAAGTGAGTCCCTTTTTGACATCAAAAAAATTCTAAAAATATTTAGGGATCTTTGATTTTTTTTTTCTTTGTGTTTTGTATTTTTTTTCAAGTTATGTACTTAATTTATGGCCTATTATTGTTAAATGCAAATCTACCGTGAAATGTATTTTTTTTAATTTCCATCTAAAAAGAGCAAATAATAATAAAGGATAAACAAGAAAAAATAACATAGAAAATTTCTTCTTCAAATTCAGTTTTTGCGAAAATATTCACTAACGCTAGTGTCAAAAGTATCATATTTTTTAGATTTGTGCGATATTTATCAACGTTAAAGTTGAAAATATTCGTAGGAATTGTTTACTTTACCAGAGTCAGGAACATGAAAAAAATAAAAAAAAATAAAAGAATAAAAGAATAAATCCTTAGCAATTTTAGATAAAACCAACAATGTAGTCTGTCTTAGGTAGAACGTTTAAGGGGTGAGAGCATCTTTCCTTTTGCGTAATCAGTCTTGTACCATAGAATCTCTGTTGATCATTTAGGATTTTTAGTGACCATAATATTAAGTGGCGACTCCTTCAACAAGATCTTTTCCTTTAAAAGAACAAAATACCAGATATCTATTATTTTTTCAATCGAGATATTTTTTAATTAGTTGTCGTGATATTCAGGTGTGACAATGCCTTGACTAGTTGCCCATAATTGTCGCATTGATCAGACGGGGTCAAAGCTTTTTATCGAGCCCTATTTCATTTTCACACTATGACTTCTTATATATATATATATATATTAACGTAGATGTCTGAGTTAATTTGCGTATATCTTAACTAATTTCACAAGTCTTGAAATTAACAATGATATAAGCCTCTAATAGCCTTAAAATTTATAAGACTCGAAGTAGTAATTTTAAAAAAATAAATCTAAAACCTAATCCATTAAACCATACAATAGTTGCATATATATTTTTGCTCATAACAGGAATACTAATGACATATGTTGATTCACTTTTAAGAGGCCGGGAATATTTTTAGGATGGGCTTATTGTATTAATTATTAACAGCTAACAGCCCAATACCCACTAGAGAGATGAGCGTTGCCTTGGGAACAATGTATTTTATGTTAGCAGAGATTCTTAAGACCAATAGTAAATGCTAGTTGAACCCGGAGAGCATGGTGCTGATGCACCCAAAAAGAGGGTCCGTTAACGTAGGCATTAATTTGCAATAAGAACCCACATCACATGCTCTTTGTTTGACCTCCGAGCCTAAAGTGGTGCTCTGTGGCCTGTGGGAAGAAACTGCTCAGTCAGAAATCAACGTCTATAATTAAGCATTAAACGACTCGCTGCAATTGGATGGCATTAAGAAGTGACAAGCTGGGTTTCAGTAGCGACTAAAAATAAACTATTGTGCTTGGTTTCGACATTTCCGCTTAGGTAAAGACTATAGAGGAGATCGTTAATGGGAGAATGTGATATCTAGTTAGTCAACTGCGAACTCCATTAATTTAAACCACTCGATCGATAAAGGGATCTCTTGAATCTTTTAATATGTATAATTAATACATGCAGAGCACCGTCGGAGAAACAATCGCACGTATCTGACTTTCTTTACGGAGTTTTTGGAACTAAAAAACATAAACAGAACTATGCTTAACACATGCATAAGAAGCCTTGCTCGCCTCTTTACAACCCATTTTAGCAAAGACAAAATGGCATCTTCTGCTTATACTTTGTTGTCATTTACTTTTTACATTGTCTTCCTCTCGTCTGGATCCTGTAAAGCTGAAGCTAGGAGATTCAATGACATCTCTTCTCTTGTTAGTAAAGGCCTCTTTGATTCCATATTCCTACATAAGGACAACAACGCATGCCCTGCTAAAGATTTTTACACGTACATCTCCTTCATCCGAGCATCTAGATGTTTTCCTCGGTTTGGCAGGACAGGTAGTTCTATAAAGAGGAAGCGAGAAATTGCAGCTTTTCTTGCTCAAATATCCCATGAGACCACAGGTGGGTGGCCTACCGCACCCGATGGACCATTTGCATGGGGTTTGTGCTTCAAGGAGGAAGTGAGTCCACAAAGTAATTACTGTAACTCAAGCAACACTCAATGGCCATGCTCCCCTGGGAAATCCTACAAAGGAAGAGGGCCTATGCAACTATCATGGTAATATTCATTCATTAAACAAGCATTGCATTAAGGATCCATGTCGATTTCAATTTGGTTTCAATATTAACAAGGCTACTTATAATTATTTTGATGATGTTGGGCAGGAATTACAATTATGGACCAGCAGGTAAGGCATTAGGATTTGATGGGCTTAATAACCCAGATATAGTGTCGAACAACTCCTTAATCGCCTTCAAGACAGCTCTATGGTTTTGGATGACTGAGCAGAGCCCAAAACCATCTTGCCACAACGTCATGATTGGAAAATATAAGCCGACAGCAGCTGGTGTGGCAGCTAATCGGACTGCCGGCTACGGGTTGGTGACTAACATCATCAACGGTGGTCTTGAATGTGGAATACCTAATGATGCGCGAGTTAATGATCGGATTGGGTTTTTTCAGAGATATGCAGCATTGTTTAATATAAGTACTGGACCTAACTTAGATTGTGAAAATCAGAAGCCCTTTACTTAAAAAAAAAAATTTCCCGTTTAGGGCAGTGGAATGCTGTTGTGGTTGCTTGTTGCTATGATTAGTTTTTGCAATAAATCATGATTATGCA